AGGCTGGCCCTTCTTCGTGGACCACAACAGCCGCACCACCACCTGGACCGACCCGCGCCTGCACGGGCCCCAGGTACCCGGCTCTGCCCTCCGCACTGCGGTGCCCGCCGGCGCCCGCTTGCCCGTGCCAAGTCCCGAGCGGGTTTAGCCGCCCATGTAGCGAGAGAAGCGGGGACTTGGCACGGGGTGGGTGGGTTTGTTTCCCCTTGTCCTTCCCCTCCGGCTGGCTGGCTGCGCTGCTCCGCCGTGGCGGAGGCGCTCTCCGCTCCTAATATGTCCATGAGACGAGGAGCCTCCAGAGGCGGAAAGAAACGCGCTTGGGGGGGTTTCTAGGTGTCCTTCCTTGCCAGCGGGTCTTCTATTTGTTGTTGTTGCAAGGCAAGTCCCTCTGATGGGAGAAGTCTCTGCTGTGCCAGTGGGGGGTTGTGGGGTTTAGGCAGCTGCCAGGAGAGAAGGAGCTGGAAGGAGGTGTTCAGAGACCAGTGACAAAACAGCAGGCGCGTCTCTCTCCCTGTGTTCACCCGACTTCGTTTTGGGTGCTGATCCCGTAAACTTTAGACTTTTGCAGACATTAGGGCTAGAAGGGACCTCATAAGATCAAAGGGTCCGGCCACGACCTTTGCCCCTTGCCTTTTACTTCTGAACATCCTCTTAAGTAATGATGGTGAAACGGGACTGTCCTGGCATTAACATCGGTAATGGCATTAGTACCGTCTCTGGGACGGGGTAGGACATCCGAGGAAAGGAAGCTCCCAGAGCTGCTTAGGCCTGTGCTGAAAGAAGTTTGGGTGGACGCTTTGGAGCCGCACATTTGGCCGGCAGCCTGAAGGCCTGATTGCTTCAGCTGCCAGGGAAGGTTCCTGACGCTTTGGAAACTAGTTGGAACTTCCAGCTGTTGTCTCAAAATGGTGCGGCACTAGCAGGACGAGGCCTGGAAGCCAGCAGGCTGCTGCCGGGTAGTGAAACATTTGGATCATCATGACATGTGCAAACTATTCTGGCGGTCACTGCTGCTTGGCTGTTTTATCAGGGCCATGGTAAGACTTAGGGCCTCTTTACTGAAAAAGGATTGTTGCCTGGGTTGACACGTAAACAGAACCCATTTAAAGCATCTTAGTTTAAAAAAAAAAATTATATTTGGAAGAGGCCTGGAATGTCATTTGATAAACTAGCCTGTAGAAAGCGAATTTCTTTAGTAACTTTTTTTTTTTTTGTATTTGTAGTCTTTCATAATGTAGTTTGAAGTAATAAATACAACAGATGAACACGGCATTTTAAATAATGGAGTGAAGCTAGCTTTTTCCTACCGTTTTGAAAATGTAGATCCAAGAACCCAACAGAAAAGGAATATGGTGCTAGACAGAAGTCAGAGGAAATTATAGTCCTTTTTTCAGTGTTAAGTGACTTCTAACTCCACTGGTAATGAAATTACATGATTCAGAGCCAGTGGGAGGGGAGGGGTTGTGTGTGTTTTGTTTTTACTGCTTTACATTTAAAAAAAAAAAAAAAAAAAATTACTGAATGTGGCAGTTCTACCCCCCAAAAAATTCATTGCTACCTTTATTTTTGAAAGTTTTTTCTTTTTCAAAGACCTATTGATAAGTATTGTTTAACGTCAAAACAATTGTTTTTTTTTTTACACCAGTGTAAAGATATCATAGAAAAATATAGTTCAATAATACTGTTAATATTCAATTAAAAAAAATAGAAATAGTTTTAACTTGCCTTCATTTGGAATGCCCTCCTACTACAATGCGACCCCACACTGGCACTGCTGCAAGGCATGTAATAAATATTTTAAGTTTTGTGCAGTTTTCAATTGTTTTATAGTTAGAGTGCCTTATTTAATGACTTCTGTCCTAAACATGTTATCCCTTGGGAAACTAAGAGGAAAAAATCCGTATTTCAGCTGTTTTTGATCATGCAGAAACAGGACAGTCTTGAACCAAGTTAGTGGATCAGTGTTCTTCATCTGTGATTGAAACCTAATACGTTCTCAGCCCTATTTTATCTTGGCACCTGTGATAATGAAAAATGACACCTTTCCTGCAGTGTTTCAAGGATGATGTTACAAATAGTAGTTTAGGAAAAGGAAAAACTGTATCTTCACTGAGAAAGATACAAACGGTTAATTGCACCTGCCTCTGAGGAGCAGTTGTGAAATAACCAGTTTTTCCAGTTTGGAAAATAATTATCTATATTTCACAAACTGCAATTTGCATGTTATGGGTTGTTCATGGTGACACAGGATAGTGCTTCCAAACAAGAAAAGGGGAAGCTGTTGATCTTGAATGCTGTTCTCTTATGGGCAAAACGACAACTTCAACTGATATTAATACATCTTTTGCTTATATAATAATGTTCTGATACAGGCCTTGATTTGGGTCCACTTCTAAATCTTTACTTCCATTTAGTTTAGGAGTATTCCATAGTAAGGTACTACTTTGCTTTAAAAAGGTCTCAGAATTTGACCTCAAGAAAATATTTTTTTGTTTTCTGAAGTGTGTGTGTGAGTAAAAGTATCATCCAAAAAAATAATGATTAATCTTTACTTTCACACTCAACTCTACGCACAGACTTTCTGGAGCCACATTTTAATTATGAGCCTTATCATAGTGAATGAAAGGAACCAGATCAGTTGTACAGGCAGGAAGAGAACACTTTTCAGAGTGTCTTCTAGTGGTTTCTTGATATCTAGGATTAACTGAAGACTGTAGAACTGAGATGCTCGCTGTTTGCCCTGCTATAATACAATTAATTCTAAAAGGACAAGATGTTAATATTTCAGTGATGCTTTATCATTTTGATAAGTTCTTAAAAGCAGTTAATAAAAACATTGATTCCATGGATTGCCCTAGTAATGATAAAACACAAATTTAAAAATTATCCATATCCTTTTCAGTCCTTTTTGAGTGACCTATGCAGTGACTATTTTTTTAAAATTTTTAAATGGAACATAAAAGGCTAAGTCAATTTCTAACTAGTTTACATAGTGTAACTACTGACTTCAGTCGATCACTACAGATTTATAGTAGTGTAAGTGAGAAGAATTGGGCTATATTAAAACTTGAACCCCAACCCCGGACCCTTTTCCATCAATAGAATTGGGAGTTATGTTGTCATTTTAACCAGAAAGTTATAACAGACTGCCTTTGTACCAGGTGGTCCTCTACTTTCATTATTACCTATTAGCTGTGGCGAACAAAGTCTGGCCCATGGGCTAGATCAGGCCCATGGTGGACTCCATTTCCCAGCAGCCCCTGCCCACGTTGCTGCTGCCGGTTTCCATGGAGACCCCAGCAGCGGTGGGGCCATGACACCAGGGGGCCAGGGTTTCCAAGGAAACCGGCCCCAGCAGCACTGGCAGGGCGCACAGTTGGGTGCGGAGCTGCTCCAGGGCTGGGATCTTGCGGTGGTGACACGTGGTCTGGAGCTGGGGCAGAGCGGTGACCTGCTGCCCGCATGCGCTGGGCAGGGATGCATGGGCAGCGGATCGCAGTTCTGCCCCAGCTCCAGGTCACGCTGTCCCCACTGCAAGATCCCAGCCCTGGCCCCAGAGCAGCTACCCATCCAGCCACGCACCCTGCCAGTGCTGCTGTGGCTGGTCTTCCTGGGCACCCTGGCCCCACGCTGTCACGGCCCCACCGCTGCTGGGGTCTCCACAGAAACCAGCTGCAGTGACGTAGGCAAGGGCTGCTGGGAAAGGGAGTCTGGCTGCTGGCCAGATCTCCCATTTTGCCAACCCCTGTTTTAACCTATATGAAGAATGCCCATTTCTGTCATCTGTTAGATTTTTCTGAAAGGGGTGATTTGGAGGGGATATGTCCTGGTTAGCAGCTTTGATGCAAACACCCTTGCTATAATAACAGCGGTATCGGGCTGGATTAGGGACACTGGCAGGGATCCAGAAGGAATATCAAACCTGTCTTGACTGTAGTGAATAGCGGCCATGTGTTTTGTGAATGACTGAAAAGCAGTGAGCCCACTCCGACAAGTTTTGTTAATAACTATTTTCTGGTTATTCAGTTCCTCGTTTCTTGAATGACTTGCTTTTCATATTATGGAGTGCGCGCCCACAGACAGTGAATAGTGACGATCAGTCACTTAGTTTATAACACACCTATAACTGATGTTTTTCTTATAGCTTCTGTGATAGGACCGTCTTTCCTGATGTATCTGTGTGTATATGACTTGTGTTCCTGGGTAAAATTATACTGTCATAAGTCTGATTTCTGCTAAGATTTTTTTAAAGTGGATCACTGTTCAGTGGGCTGCATCCCCAGAAAGCCTGAAGATGGAATTGAAATGATGGTTTCACTTAAACCCCTCTTCCACATGCAGCAGTCCTCTTGTGGTTTCTAGTTGTGATAAACTTCAAAAGGCATTACTTGTAGGGAGACTGATCACCATGTTCTCAGGGGCAGCAGGTTGGAAACTGTGATAAACTGGCACAGCTTTGAACTGTCCCTGAACTATGGTTATTGACTCTTATCAGTCATGAAAGTAGCAGTTCTTGAAGCTGTCCAGCCAACAATGATTTTGTAGCTGTAGAAGTCAGGCTGGAAGGGACCTCCAGAAGCATCTAGTCCAACCCTCTGCCTGAAGCAGGATCATCCTTATCCAAACCGTCCCATACAAATCATAATCTAAAGTCTACATAAGATTAGTGTCAATGACGCAAAGAATGGCTATTCCCTCGTTTTAGGAGGACTGTGGGGAAGAGCTGTATACATGTAACCGCTAGAATGAAATCCTGTAGACGGCAGGGTAGAGATACAATCCTGACTATCTTCCCTCTCGCCCTTCTCTTACTCCCAAATATCAGCCTTTACTCAATGGATGAACATGGGTGGAGTTTTAGAAAAGAGTCAGCACTGAGTAATGCTACCAATGTATGCCATGCATTGCTTTGTATTTGAATTTTCACTGCATGCACTATCATGCCCACAAATTCACCCTTGTATGACTGTAGAAGTTGTTGTATTTTTGATTCCCTAAATTGAGACATGTTAGGAGTTGATTAGGAGTGATATGCCCTCTTATCAGGAAAGAGTGCTGTGATGGCATTTTTTG